ATATATATATACACATATGGATATATATATATATATATATATATATATATATATACATACTATATATATATATATATATATATATATATATATATATATATATATATATATATATATATATATATATATATATATATATATATATATATATATATATATATATATATATATATATATATATATATATATATATATATATATATATATATATATATATATATATATATATATATATATATATATATATATATATATATATATATATATATATATATATATATATATATATATATATATATATATATATATCTATATATATATATATATATATATATATATATATATATATATATATATATATATATATATATATATCTATATATATATATATATATATATATATATATATATATATATATATATATATATATATATATATATATATATATATATATATATATATATATATATATATATATATATATATATATATATATATATATATATATATATATATATATATATATATATATATATATATATATATTATAAAAATACAGTTGAAGTCAGAATTGTTAGCCCCCCTAAATTATTAGCCCCCGTTTATTTTTTCCCCAATTTCTGTTTAACGGAGAGAAGATTTTTTTCCACACATTTCTAAACATATTAGTTTTAGTAACTCATTTCTAATAACTGATTTATTTTATCTTTGCCATGATGTCAGTAAATATTATTGACTAGATATTTTTCAGGACAATTCTACACAGCTTAAAGTGACATTTAATGGCTTAACTAGATTAATTAGGGTAACTAGGCAGGTTAGGGTAATTAGGCAAGTTATTGAATAACGATGGTTTGTTCTGTAGACTATTGAAAATTATATAGCTTAAAGGTGCTAATAATATTGACCCTAAAATGGTGTTTGAAAAATAAAAAATCTGCTTTTATTCTAGCTAAAATAAAACAAATAAGACTTTGTCCAGAAGAAAAAATATTATCAGACATGCTGTGAAAATTTCCTTGCTCTGTTAAACATCATTTGGAAAATATTTATAAAGAAAAAACATTCAAAAGGGGGCTTATAATTCTGATTTCAACTGTATATTTCAAAACATTCATATTCAGTTTTATTTAGATTCTTATTTGTTGCCAGGTGTAATTTTTTTATATTTATATGTATTAAAACATTCATATTCGGTTTTATTTACATTAATATTTGTTTTCAGGTGTACATTTTTATGTTTACAGTTGAAGTCAGAATTATTAGTCTCCCTCAATTATTAGCCCCCCATTATTTTGTCCCCAACAGAGAGCAGATTTTTTTAACACATTTCTAAACAAAATAGTTTTATTAACTCATCTCTTATAACTGATTTATATTATCTTTTCCATGATGACAGTACATAATAACCAGATATTTTTTAAGACACTTCTATACAGCTTAAAGTGACATCTAAAGGCTTAACTGGGTTAATTAGGGTAGTTAGTCAAGTTAGGGTAATTAGGCAAGTTATTATATAACAATGGTTTGTTCTGTAGACTATCTGAAAAAATATGTATAGCTTAAAGGGGCTAATAATTTGACCTTAAAATTATATATATATATATATATATATATATATATATATATATATATATATATATATATATATATATATATATATATATATATATATATATATATATATATATATAGATATCTTAATATCCCACCGCACTGTACATAAGAAACAAAGTCTCTAGGATAGACAAATACAATAGAGCCAATTAGCAAATGAAAGATATGAGAGTCAACAAAATTAAGGTAAAATAATTCACCAATCTACCATAAAATAACACTATCGTTTTTAATTGTATAAATAATACAGTTAATGTTTGTTAAAGCTGCAAACACATTGCAATATCAATGCTGAAATTATACATTGTGCAGCTCTAGTTGATACATTATGAAAATATTCCTGATTTAAAGGGGACTTATTATGCAAAAAATCACTTTTAAAGAGGTTTGTTTGTGAACATAGCCAGACTCCAATGGTAAAAATGTATTACTTCTATTTTTTATGATCACACTTAAAAAAAACAGTCTGGAGAAACACTTTAATTGACATTCTCCCTTTGTACATATCCTTGGAGGGACAAAAACCCACCCATTCTTGACAATCTGTCTCACATTAGCATAAACAGCCCTGAGTAAGAAGCAGCCGTCCACCATTCAACATTTTGATTGACATTTTCCCTTTGTACACCTCATCAGAGGGACAAAGACCCGCCCATTAGTGACACCCAGACACTCATTAGTGACGACAAGTCTCTCATTAGCATAGACAAACCTGAGTGAAAAGCAGCCCTCTGCTATTAAACTCTTTGATTGATATTTTCCCTTTGTACATGTCATCAGAGACAAAGTCCCGCGCATTAGTGATGACCAGTCTCTCATTAGCATAAACAAACCTGAGTGAGAAGCACCGTCCACCATTAAGCACTTTGATTGACATATTTTGTTGTACATGTCATCAAAGGGGGAAAGATCCACACACTGGTGACCATCTGTCTCTCATTAGCATAAACAGCCCTAAGTAGGAAGCAGCCTTCTACTATTAAACACTTTGATTTACATTTTTCTTTTGTACATATCAGTCACATGGACAAAGACCCACCCATTAGTGACAACCAGTCTCTCATTAGCATAAACAGCCTTGAGTAAGAAGCAGCCATCTGCCATAAACAATTTGATTGACATTTTCTCTTTGTACATATTACAAGAGACTAAGTCCCGCCCATTATTGATGACTTGTCTCTCATTAGCATAAACAGCCCTGAGTGAGAAGCAGCTGTGCGCTATTAAACACTTTGATTGACATTTTCTTTTTGTACGTGTCATCAGAGAGACAATTTCCCGCCCATTAGTGACGATCTGTCTCTCAATAGCTTAATTAACCCTGAGTGAGAAGCAGCCGACGCCATTAAACACTTTGATTGACATTTTCTCTTTGTACATGTCATCAGAGGGACAAAGTCCCGCCCATTAGTGATGTTCTGTCACGCATTAGCCTATACAGACCTGAGTGAGAACCAGCCATGCGCCATTAAACACTTTGATTGACATTTTCTCTTTGTACATGTCATCATAGGGACAAAGTCCCACCCATTAGAGATGACCAGTCTCTTATTTGCATAAACAACCCAGAGTGAGAAGCAGCCATCCGCCATTAAACGCTTTGATTGTTGTTTTCTCTTTGTAGATGTCATCAGAGGGGGAAAACCCCGCCCATTAGTGATGATATGTCTTTCATTAGCATAAACAGCCCTGCCGAAGAAGCAGCCGTCCGTTATTAAACACTTTGATTGACAATTTCCCATTTGTACTTGTCATCAGAGTGGGAAAGCCCCGCCCATTAGTGAAGATCTGTTTGAGTGTGTAGTCATTAGTCATGTTTTGAATCTGCCACTATGTCAGCGCATAATCATTTGTAGCTCCGCCCTCTTTTGAAAAGAGGGCAGAGAGCACAGTCTCATTTGCATTTAAAGCAATAAAATGACACAATTTGCATCAAAGTCTAAAAGGGGCAGTTTTAAGGATTCAAACTAATTATTTGTGTGATATTTTGAGCTGAAACTTCTTTACATGAACACTCTAGGCACATTAGAAACATTTTAAATTGAGTAAAAAGGGTTATAATAGGTCCCCTTTAAGAGACAATCACTTCATATATCAAGCACTTTCAAACTTTGCAGACCTTTCACATTCACAAACAGCTACACACACTGCACAGAAGGTAATATTCGGGGAAAAAAAAGCATAATAGGGGCGCTTTAAATCCAAACCACTGCTGAGAAGGAATCCGGCGTGTGCGATTTTAAACAGATATGGTAAACTGTTGAACAAACACTTCCGCCCCAATAATACTAAGCCTCCGGTACTGTAAATACACACATGCAAATCAAAGCCTCGCAACGGCTCCCTTCTGCATATTCAGCGCAACAAAGCCTGCTGTTTATAGCAGGACTAATATCGCCACATCCATTGAGCTGCAAAGCACCCGGAGAACAGCGCCCTCAGGGCACCTTTTTTTCCCCCATCCAAGTTTCCAACTTTAAAGTCGGCTCAGGCTCTGCTAAAAAATGGCCTGGGGTGATTTTCAACTTAACAGACCTCGTCCCACCAGAGCTCATTATAGAGAATTTTATAACAAAGTGCTCCGTACTTAATTTTCCAAGCCTAGCCAGGCGTCGGGGTAATGTTGCTGAATTAAGTGCAATTAATGATGTAATAAAGTGCTGAACGACCATTAAGGATTCTCAAGGACCAGCAGCAAACAATGACGTGCCGTTCGGGAAGGGGACTGGAGGACGTGGAGGCCCCAGGTGAGAAAGAGGGGGGGCGCGACTCAGACGAGAGACCTCTGTCCTTCAGAGAGACTCAAACTGGGTAAACATGCTTCTCCCCTCCGGTAATGCTTTCAGCGCTGAGCCCTGTGTGCACCCTGGAGGAGCAGTCTCGCGCTGGAGGCTGGACGCCCCGTTCCCTGGAGCACACAGGGGTCACTGCTGAAATGCAAACAATCCCGAGCCGCTGGGATGGACATAATGGCTCGCAGCGCACGGCAGAGGGAGCTCTTACACCCTGAGGAACAGCACTGAAAACATGCGCACACACATACCTGCACTTCAATCACTGTGTGGCTCTATCATTAACACAGACACACGCACACACATGCGTGGTCAAGGCAACCTGGCAGATCTTTTGGTACACATATGTTGAAAATGTTTGGCAACACAAACAGGCATAAAATTTTAACCTGGCAAC